ATCGATTCTTTCTTGATTTATTACTTTCTTTCTTGATTTCTTGTTTCTTTCTTGATTTCGTACTCTTTTTTTCTTGATTTCTTACTTCATTTCTTCATTTTATTGCTTGTTTTCTTGATTTCCTGCTTCTTTCTTGATTTTTTGTTTACTTTCTTGATTTCTTGCTTACTTTCTTAATTTCTTGTTGTATTTGTTGATATGTTGTTTATTTCTTGATTTCTTGTTTAGTTTATGTTTTTTTTACTCTTTTCTCAATTTTTGGCTTTTTCCTTGATTTCTTGTTTCTTTCTTAACTTCTTGCTTATTTTCTTGATTTTTGGCTTTTTCTCTCTCTTTATTTCTAGTTGTATTTCTTGATTTCTTACTTCCTTTCTTGATGTCTTGTTGTATTTCTTGATTTATTGTTGCATTTCTTGATATTGTGCTTCTTACTTTGATTTATGCTTCTTTCATAATTTCTTATATATATTTTTTTTTCTTCTTTCTTGATTTCTTACTCTTTTTTTATTTATTGCTTACTTTTTTCATTTGTTACTTTTTTCTTGATTTCATGCTTCTTTCTTGATTTCTTGCTTCCATTCTCTATTTCTTGTTTTTTTCTTGGTTTCTTACTTCTTTCTTAATTTCTTGTTTTTTTTTCTTTCTAATTTCTTGCCTATTTCTTGATTTCTTGCTTACTTTATTAATTTCTTCCTTCTTTCCAGATTACTTCCTTATGTTCTTGATTTCTTATTTATTTCTTTATTTTTTGTTGTATTTCTTGATTTCTTGCTTACTTTCTTAATAACGTTTGAACGCATTAAGAATGGTATAAGGCATGAGTTGTATGATAAAAGATGATGTTTTAAGTTGATAAATAGTTGAAGAATGATGATTCAATTATATGATGAATGTTGTGTGATGATAATTCATTACGCTTTAAGTTGATATGATGTGTAGTGAGAGATTTATGTTGTCAAGATGTAAGCTAATAGATAACTTAAGTTGCCAAGTTGTATGATGCTATAGTTGACTAAATTGTTAAGTTCTTAGACATGTGGTGAAGATACATGTCTTAGTTGAGATACATAAAAACTAGAGGAGAGTTATGTTATTTTATGTTGTACCCTCTAGGACTTATGTGGAACAATATGGAGGTTCAGTTGATCCATATTATAATTGAAGTGACCAACCGAGTAATGTACAAGGTCAAAGGCTTAGTTCCTAATTGAGTACTAAAAGGATGTAGTATTTGGAGAGGGTAGTGAGTAGGAGAATCCAGTAAGAGGCTTAACGATATAAATTAATGTTTTGGTATCATACCCAAACTATTTTACCCTGACAAAAATACTAGACTTCCAATTTTAAATGACGAAACCTAAGAAATCAATTTAAGTTGTATACTTGAAACGCTAAGAGGCTTAACATTATCTATACTTAAACTAATTGTAATAGGTTATTAGATGTTATGATTTGGAAGGGTTTAGCCGCTTAAACTGCTTACCTTTGTTATAGAAAATCTTTGTAATTGTTATGCATAATGGTGCATTTGTGTTTTAAAGATGTTCACGGTGATATTGTTGTTTTTGTTGTAAGTTGTTGTGATGTTGGTATGATGATGTTGTTACCAAGTTAAAAGTTGTTATATTGAGTTGTATTAAATATTGATTGAGTTGTTTATGTTGTATTGTAAGTTGTTTGTTGTGAATACTATGTTGAGTTTTTTCACAAGTTTATCCTATGTTCATATATATTGGTATAAAATTTTTAAAAACGTAATAAAAACTTAAAGATATATGTAAAAATAGTTAAAATATTATATAATATTTGGTATATAAAAATATAAGGCTTAATTACATTTTTGATCCCTCAAGTATTGTAATTCTGTAATTTTATGTTTTAATTGGGTAATTTTAGTCCCTAAAAGATTGCAATTGTGCGATTTTGGTCCTTCAATCTTTAATTGAACAATTTTAGTCCCTCAAATATCATAATTGTGCAATTTTAGTCACTCCCATTAAAAATTTAATAATTTTAAGTTTACTATGAATAGTGCGATTCCACTAAGTGTAGGGACTACGGCGGGTCGTTACATCTTTTGTTTTTTTTTTGTTCGTCCCTTTGTTATATACTTATATTTTTGTAAAATTATATTAATATATACTAAGTCATATTTATCAAATTATTAGTTTATCTATAAATATACTAAAAATATTATTGATATTAATTTATCAATAATATTAAAATACTAATAATATATAAATTTTATTTATTTAGTAATAATAAATATATATCATTTGATATATTAACAAAAATTATAATATATGTTAACTTGAATAGACAAATAATTGTATAATTTTAAAATATTGTATATATATATATATATATTAAAATTATTAAATTTTTAATGGGAGTGACTAAAATTGCACAATTATGATATTTGGGGGACTAAAATTGTTTAATTAAAGATTGAAGGACCAAAATCGCACAATTGTTAACTTGAATAGACAAATAATTGTATAATTTTATAGTAACACATACTCTATAGTGACACAATACTTGTCATTAAAAATTACTTCTATCCATATTATAGATATAATATATGTTGATATACTATTAAAAAATGCTCAATAACTTTATATTAAATGTGAATTTTGTAAATCCAACTATTAAATTGAAAGTTTATATCATTTTACATGTTTATATCAAATTTTGTTAAAATCGAATAACAACTTGAGGGTAATCAAAATGTTCATATTTTAGTATATTTTTAAATGTATATATTACGTCAATTTTGTTTTATAAGAATGAAATATCAAATTATTTTAAATTAATATAAAATTTTGTATATATAATTTAAGAGTAATTTTTTTTTAATCTAATGGTTAAATTTACAACATTTACATTTAATATAAAGTTATTAATTAAGCGGTATAATATACTTAGTAAAAATTATACCAATATTATTATAACTCTCTTTATATATATATATATATATATAATTTACAGTAACATATCATTATATGTAATATCATTTTTTATAGTGATGATATGATTTATTATATAAATATTATATACCTAATATTTTATTTACACCAAGATATTTTTTATCAGATAAAGGCGGGTACTAAAAATAAATTCAATCTCTTAATAATATCTTTTTGTGTACATGTTTAAGCACCAAACTATTATTTGAATCTTGTTAGTCCACGTCTCTAAATTATCGAGAGTAATTAGGACATGACACAAGTGGTATTTAAAAGAATTCGTGCTTCCTTGCTAACCAATCGATATGTTTTTGAATATTTGTTTTTGAGGGGTATATTTTAAAGAAGAAGCTTATATCCCCTTGTATTTATCGATATATATTTTTACATAAACATATTATTTTTTTAATCACCCAAAAAAAAACTTTTTATTAATAGAAAATGTGTATTTTATAAATTATTATTTTTTAATTGTAATTATACATGGTAGAAGGGTTGGGTGAAAGTACATGTTGATAGGAAACAAGAATTTGGTCCAAGGGAGAGAGTATAGGAAGACGTAAAGACGAACTAAAAGCAGCTGAAAAAGAAGATATGTAATCCGAAAGAAATAATAATAATAACCAACCCCCAGACAGAAATGACCTTATACTTGAGCAAAAACATTTGGCTGCGGTCCAGATTTCTCATTTCTCACCTCATGTGACCACAAGAATGGTGCAGTGCACAACTTTATTAAGGGAAATGAAGAGAGTCCCACTTCCCAGACAGATGAAATATCAACGAATCGGACCCCCCTGCCAATAAACCATGTTCAAGTCAATGTCGATACAGGATTTAATGTAAACGGTACAACTGGTCTTGGTGGGTGCAGTTGTCCCTCATCATAACATAAATGTCACACTGTCCTCTCTACTTGTCATATACTATACTCTATAGCTCAACCTTTCCCACTCCCATGCTGCTTCAGACTCTCATAATTTTCACCCCAAACAGATTCCCTCATTCTTCAATCCATGTCTCCATGCACCTCCTACATTAATGCACCCGACACTAATTCAACTGGTCTCTTGCCCAACCTTCAAATTTTCCAGGAATTCCATGCTTTCATATCTCAATTTCAAAATTAAACATAGTAAACGTCTACTACTTTTTATTTTTAACTCGGGTTATTTAATTCACTCGCATTTTCTAATAGATATTTTTTCATTCACACAGTCAATAGTATTAACAAAAGTTCATATAATAGTTAAGCATTACCCTACTTTAATTAAAGTACCAATTCATGTGATTAAAGTGAGAATAACTATACAATCTTCTCACAATTTTTTTCATAGTCTCCTCTCAGTTTTCCTAACGAGATGAAACTTGTAGCATAGTTGTGTATCAACCATATAGTAGGTGAAAACTTCAACTAGTTGTGAGATTCCAAGTGGCATTTAATTGTGAAGAGAGAAAATTCACAAGTTTCATCCCAACTACGTGGAAAAGTGGCTTTGATTGGTCAAGCTAGCGCTAGATTTATGTGTGTCGTAGACAGAACAGATATGGGTTCTACTCTGCGTCAAAATTAAGTTGACCTCCAAATTCGAGTAGCTGGCTTTCTGTGTACGGTCAGTGTCAACAAAGAACGTAACATATATCAGTCTCCGATTGCTTCAGTGATTAACTTTTATAATTTTAAATGAAAAATTAAACATACTAGCATGCTATACCTATTCAATAGAAAAGATTCCAACTTTTAATTTCCACACAAATCAAGATATCAAACCTCAATTTATCGCTGATCTTTTAATGAGCATTAATGTTTAAACTTTTCAAATGGTGCTAAAACATACTCTTACCTTAACTCGTTTAGACATCGTCAAACTATGGTGGTAATGGGTAATAAATACAAATAGAAGCTAGTACTTTTAGTCTTTTAGATCCGGTGGCTCTGTACCATGATGGGCATGGGGTAATAATTTTGCTTGAAAGTTGAAAAACAGAAGATTAAATAAATAATAAATGATGGTGGTGCTGAATTCATAGGGGTTATGTCAAAATCCTCTTGTATTGAACTTGAAAGACTATATTACAACAGTGGCAACTAGGTGGAACATTTTTCCTCCAATGTAAATCACTCACGGTGACCTTTTAAGACTCTATCGACAACTATAGAGGCTATAAAACAAGAGAAAACAAATGAAAAGAAAAAGAAAAAAAAGGGGCTATTATATTAAACTCGAACTCCTGCTCTACAGTGACTAACATTAGGTGGTGGGAGAATATGAACATTGAACAGAGGAAGTGTTCCAAGGGTCAAGGAGAAGAAGCAGGTTCGAGATGGGTATCTTGTTTCTTGAAGAGATCAAGGCGAGAGTCTCCCAATCTGAGAGAGTATGCAGCTTGCTTGTATTGGGCCCATGTGAAGGGCTTATACAGACTAGGATTGTGGGCTGTCACCATCTTTGGCAGTGGAGTGATCCACCAATTCAGCGGTGGTGCTGCAAAGTACATCATTGACATTCTAGCCTTGGCTGTGTTGGTCAATACTCTGTGTCTCACGCTCCCAAACCTTCCATTTGTCATAACCTTGGAAAAGTATACAAACACATAAATCAATATGTTTGATGTTCCAAAATTGATATCATAGTGAGTGTGTTATGGAATTAATTGAGTAGAGATTAATTATTATGGCCAAGCCCAAGGCATGTTCAAAGATAGAAATAAAATGTGAAAATGACATGATATTGAATTGAAAGAAAAGAAAAATCGTGGTTGTGAGTGTGATTAGAAACCAACCTGAAGGGCGTCACCAACCATAACGAAGAATTGATTGGGGTCAGGGGGGACAGGAATCCACAAGCCATCGTGGGTGGAAATCTGAAGGCCACCGACGTCGTTGGATCGCATGATGGTTAAGATCTGAGGGTCAGAATGCTCCCCAAAGCCAATGTTGTTGTTATTATTATTATTATTAGTATTTTGGCTCTGCTCAGGTTTGGACGTGTCCCAATTGTGGTTGCCCTTTAGGCTCACGGGAGGGTATTGATTGATCCTGAGGAGTGAGTCACTATGGACGTCTTTGATTAGCTTGCTCAGTGAGGACTTGTCTTGGACCCACAAACCCTCAGCCACCAGATCAAGAATCTCACATGTTAGTTCTTTAGCTGCTTCTATATAATCATTCACGGCGCAACTGCAATTCAACACAACATACACATGGAGGGTCATACTCATATCACATATCATATAACATCAATTTTCTTTTTTAAAATTAGCAAAAAGAAAAATATATATCCTTTCTGTATTCTTGATTTGATTGTGCGAGTTGTTGATTTCTATGTGTGACTATATATGTTAGCCCAATATTTGGTCCATCTTCTAGTGAAAATGAAGATATGGTCATTGGCCTAGTACGGGCATGCTGGGAAAAGTAGGCTAGGTGGCTCCACAGTCCACAATATGAAGAAAGCCCAATGCTAGTCATAGCAAAAATAACACCAAGGTGTTGTTAATTACATTAATTTTGTACTGTCCTATCTGAATATTACTGTGGTAAGCCAAGGTTATAACCACATGTTGGATTTGTAGCCTTTTCAGGTCACACACAATTCTGCCTAAAAGATAAGAAATTTGAAGCCTCAGTTATGCGTGCGTCATTTTCTTACGGAAGATAGGTTTTAACATTGAAGTACTTGCCACCTACACACTCTGGCCAAGTAGATCCCATTGCTAAATGAAAGTAATGAGTGTGTTTTGATTTATGAGTTAAAAGAATGAAAATTTTATAAAATCAATTTAACTCAATAATTTGAGTGCCACGTAATGATTTATGGTAAATCCAATACATAACATGATTGTCGTGCAATTACGTTGGTTCTATGTGTTGGGCTTGGGCCCACTACTCATAGAAAGTATGCTCCATCAAACCAAAACAGTTCTATCTGCTGCCAATTCGCCATGCATTTTAATGAAGAGAAAAAATGACAGATACACACACCCATTTCTGACCAGAGGAGACGAAAAAGAAAACGTAAAAAGATCTGATATGCTAAAACGAGAAACGGATGAAAATATTAATCAGGTATACGAATATAATTATTATCTTAAAAAAAAAACTTTAAATTCTATGCAGATTGCACTCTGCTCTACTTTGCCCCCAAAACAAAATCTAAATTTTATACAAGGAATCATAGATGGGCGATAATACGATTTAAAATCACTTTTAGATCATTACTTATTAGTCGAGAATCCCAACTATTTACTTAATTAATTAATTGATATAAAATTGTAAGTAAATGATTTTACAAAAAAAATTATTTGGTCATGATGTACGTATACCGCTTTCCAAACAAATGAAATTAAATAATTTTAATGTTAAAGATGCTGCTTGATGAATATTATAAAAAACAAATTAAACTACACAAAGTTAATATAAAACACGACTATTCTTATATACTATATATCTACAATGTATTTTAAAAGTTAAAACCAGAGAATTGAACTAAACATCAATCAGGCCGGGTTTGTACCCCCAAGAAAATAATTAATTAGGTTTGTTTGGCATAGCCATTTTTAGTGCACGTGTTGCTTATACCTTTTCAACTCAAATATTCATATTTAATGGATAGAAAATTCATAAAATAAGGCAGCATAATTGTTGTTATTTAAACACAGAAAGTGGTAGACGGAGCCTATTAAACTATATATATCAGTAAAAGAAACCAAGATGGACTTGTTCCCAGATCGATAAAAAATGGTCCCCGACTAATGCAAATATGTAGAAATCTTTACCAAATACCAAGTAGCCAAATGAACCACAAGAAAACAGCATAGATTAAAAAATGGTAAGGCGATATTGTTAAACTATTAAATATTGAACAATTGGTAGCATGCATAAAAAAATTCCAATTTAAAGGCAAGATGCCCCTATGAAGACTCATAATATTGTACAAATTTCCTAAATAACCCATTATTTTATTTTCCCAGCATTCATTTTGGAAAATCTTGTCATTATAAATTGTCCTTTTTATATTATCCCAAAGTGATCACAAAACAGAAATACAGCTACGAATATATATATCACCAAAAATGGGAAATGAAAGTTATGTCAATCTCGTCAGAGTTGCAGACTCAAGCACCCACCAGCCTGCTTGGCTCTTAAGAAACACAAACAGATAAGGGCTTGTTCCCTACCCTACACCCCCCGGACCCCCCCTCCCCCTTCGCCTCTCTCACTCTCACTCTCACACATGCCAATAAACAGTAATTATTATTATACATATTCCAACAGTAAAATTTAATTAAACGGCGTTATATAATATAATCCTGTTACAAACTCACAATTAACGTTACTATTTTCACCACGTAATAATATGTAACGCAAAACATATGGAACAATCGGTGAGGAAAATAGTGAATAGAATACCTGAACTTGGTAGGGTCGTTTGCAATGGTTTTGGATTTCTCGGATATGGAAAGAGGATTGGTATGAAGGAGGAGATACTCAAGGTGACCCATGTCGCCATTGGGGCCAATGTTTCTGCAGCCATAGCCAAAAGGGTTGGCAGGGCCAGCTTGACGCTTCTCCGAGGAGCTTTTCGAGAAAAACTCTGTTCCCTCCTCTTCCAATCTTGAAATAACCTCCTTTGCCACACTGTGGTTCACCACCTTGAAGAAACCATATTCCTCACATGCTTTCACCACTTCTTCCGACAACTTTGACCTTTCCATAGAAAGGTCAATCGTCGGAATCCCCATAGCCTTTGTTTTCTTGCTTCTTACCATCATGGAAGTTGGACTAGGCGCAACCATTGTGATATCAAGCAACTAATTTTTTTTTCTTCTTTTTTTTGGATCGATGTAAGGAAATGAATGGGAATGGCTTATGGAACTAAAATGGAGAGGGGTATAGATTTTTGGTTGTAGAAAGGTGGTATCATATATCATGTATATATACTTGGCATGTAAGGGATAGGATGGGGAGAGAATGAGGAGAAGAAAAAAGGGTTGTGATTATTAAATTTTAATTTTTTATTAAAATATTATGTGCAGGACCGAGATGGGGTATGGTGATTAAGGAACAGTTTAATATACATAACAATAATAAATTGATATATTATATGTTTTGTTTATTTAAGGAGGCGTGGACTTTGTAGACAAGACAGTCCAAGATGGGTGAAAAAAGCAAAAGAAAGAAGGAATTCAAATCTTCATGTGCATGAATTGATAGAAGAAATTCGTCAAGTCTGAAATCCTCCTATCCTATAGCCTCTAGTACCATATATACTAAGACGGATAGAATCTAACAAGGAAAAGTAATGAAATATTATAATGCAAGAGTAACTAACTAATAATCAGAATTAGTGTAAACATGAATGTGCAAGAGTGTAGACTAATTTACACTGTCACATTAATTTTATTTATTTTGTTTTCCAGAGTAAGATTTTATTTTAAGGTAGGAAGTGGGCACATTAGGTTTAGGTGAAAGATAAATTTAAGAATTGGGAGGCAACTGGTAGCGGCACTTTGCTGGCTTAATTGGACTTGGCTGCTATCAAAGCTTTTCAGAACCGCGTGATCTAAGAGGTTATTTTTTACTCTTCTACATATCATGCATACGAGTTACGCGTATATGTTTGACTCACCCACTGTCAAGCTTGTACTTCACAGCACTTGCTTTTTTTATTTTATTGTGTAGACTATATAGACCCGTGAACTCGTATCATTCTGTTTTTTAATTTTCAACATGTAATATTTTCACAAGTATAACATTCTAGTAAAGAAATTTAAATATATTATTCATATTTTATTTATATATATATAATAAGGCTATATATATTTTCAATTATCTAATAGGGGCCCAAGATTAAATGAAAATTAATATTCTTATGGTTATGGGTATATTATAGTAGGATGCAGCAGTAATATAGCGTAAGTGGTCAAAGTACGCATGATGATGTTGGGCGGTGTTGAAAAACTAAAAACGGAGAATGTGGTTTTTCTGTAATCTGCAGAAGACATTGTCGGGTATCGTTATTCTCTCAGGCGGTTTTTGTTGAAACATGTTCCTCTGTGGTTCAAAGTGAAAACATTTTAATTTGAGAGAAGAAGGTTAATTATTGATGATACAAACTTTAAACATATAACAGGTGTTGCCCAGGCATTGTTGGGCGTAGGAGGTTCAAGCTTATTTTGTTTATTGATATTTTAATTTGTATTTGGGGAAGGTGGTGGCTTGTTAGGTTTGGACCATGTTCTTCAGAGTCGGCAATGTTCCCCACAATGCTTTTTCCAACAAAGTTAATGGCCAGGCTTTTACAGAAACTCTATTTTTAAACCAAGTTAGCGCAAAATGCACTTCTAAACAACTTCTTTAATTCTCAACAAGTGAATTATAGGCGCATTTTTTAAATCAACTAATTACTGTACACAGAAGTTACTTTAAAATTGTACTAATAATAAAAAATATCATTTTTTCCACAATTAGTTTTCAATTTTATCTTTTAATTAACTATCATAAAAAATTTATATATATATATGACTAAAATAAATTGTTAATTAATTAATTATTTTAAAAAACTATTATTCAAGTGCCTTTCATCCTACTGATATTAATAATGTCAATCCCTTAAACATTATTCTCTTCTTCATTTGGAATTAGTTGATTGTCCTTTATTTTTCAAGTTTTTTTTTACAACATGTATTACTCGATCTCCTGAGTTATAAACTAATTGAGAAGAAGAATTTTGGTATCATAATAAAAAATGAACACTATTTTTTATTAAATAAATTATCTTCATAACTTGTAAGTACGTAATGTCTATCTATTATATTTGTAAAGTTTTTTCAAGTTTTTAAAATTGCCTGAGTTATATTTTATAACAAAAAATTGTTATTTATTATTAGATTAAATTATTCCGATCTTCTTCGTATTTAATAAATATGTTACACTTAAAAATACTAAATTTTATTTTTTTAATACCAAAAATTGACAAAATACTTTGCTGTACATTTTGTCTCATTACACAAATCAATCCCTCTCTAGTTTTATAAATAAATTACGATTAAATCTCTTTATTATTATGGTAAAAATTAACATTATTAGATACTTAAATGATACAAGCTTCAAACTAATATTAGAATACCATAAGAGAATAAATGATAAAATAAAATAATTTCATAACTTCAAACTAATACTACTTCTAATCCTAATTATAAAAAATTAATTAATTTTTTTATTCTAATTATAAATAAAAATCATTAATTTTTAAAATTATTTTTTTTATATTTTTCTTTTATTGTTAACTCTATTTTATTTTCTATATATTTACTTATAGCTAGCATTAAATATAAAAAAAAAACAATTAAAGTAAAATGTATATTTAGAATAAGCCTTAAGTTTTATGATAAAATTAATTAAAAATAATCATATTAATTATTTTTCTTAATTTTAATTGTTTGTATTATATTGTTTATAATTAGGATTAGTGGTAATAATAAACAATGTTTTAAAATTATTATAATAAAAATTATTTAAAATTTAATCACGTGAATTTTAAATAACATAGAGTAACATGTTTTTCAAATTAATTTAAAATAATTTTATTTATTTATTTATTTATTAATAAATAATATAATTTAGCTTTTATTGAATTTCTTATTACAATAACTTAAAATCATTTATTTTTATTTTAAATATGTGAAATTATAATTTATTTTTTGTATTCTTTTATATTATCTTTTTAATTAACTTTACAAAAAATATTACATATAATGATATACAAAAAATGTTATTATAGATATAATATATGTAAATATAAATTTGTTTGACATATAACTTACATACTATTTTAATGTTGATTTTAAATGAAATTCAACAACATATATTATGTATCACTATACCATATACTTACATCTTTTTAATAATTATGAGAATATAATTAAAAAAAGAGAGTATATTTTAGTAACAAGTATTGTGTTATTATAGAATTTTTGTCACTGTAATATATTTTTTTAGTGAACTAATTATTTAATTATTTCTAAATTTTAGTATTGCTGAGGAATTTAACTGTTATACAGTTTTTTAAATGAAAAAAAAAATGTATGTAATATTTAAGAAATAATTTTTTTTTGTGTGTGTGATGAGTCGAAATTTAAAGAGAAGAAGGATTTTAATATATCACAAAAACAATTTTAAAAAAATGCAATGAGCTTAATTTGTATACAATGTCATGCAAAGACGACCAGTTAATTTTTTTTAAAAAAATAATCACTATAAATTTGATAATTTTATATATATATATATATATATATATATATATTTACTGACTGATAATTTATAATTGGATAATTAAGAATATATAAATTTACATTAATAGTATATTTTAACTAACTAAAATTTAATAAAATTAAATTAAAAAATAAAACAAAATTCATAAAGAAAAATTAACTTATGTATATAAAAAAATTATATTAACTTTTTTTCAAAACATTTAACTTATAGATAAGTTATTTTTTAACTTATAAAAAAATTATATTTTTTCTCCTAAAAACACTCATGGAAAAAATTATCAAAACATGTTTTTTTATATTTGTCAAATGTTTTATGATGTGTAAATTAGTAAATAACTACGCGTGACATTTAAGAGCTGATTAACTTTGTAAGAAGTAAGCTAACATAAAAATATAATTGTCATAATTAACTATAGTATGCCAATTTCAAAATAAATGGCTTTTATGTTAGATAATTTTTTATATAATGTTAAATAGTTAACTATACGATTATATAAGCTCATTTTCACCTAAATATTTATAATGTTAAATATGCTTTTGACTCCTTAATTCAATAGTCTACTATTTACTCAATCTTTATAAAGTATTGGAGTTGGATTTACAAGTTAAATCTCCCTAAAACTATAAAACATTTCATATGGCTTATTCTTCAAAACAAATTTTCTACTAACTTATTTTGCTTTAAGTGACACTTTTTTTTTTTTTACTCTTTTTGTTTCAAGTGTTCTTAGAAGAGAAAAGTGTCATTTATTTACTCAAAAATTGTGTTGTACTAAGCAAATATGAGTTTCTCTTTGCTTGGATAATGTGTTAGATTGCTATTCTATGTATGGACTAAGAAAGTTGGTTCGTGGTTCAACATGGAGGTAGACATGCTCTTTTGTTTACTGTTGGGAAAATAATTTAAATTTCAAATAAATTGAGTGAGTGAATATTTAAGGAGATATTTTAGAAATTTATAATCTTTAGGATATTATTCACATTTACAAATTTTTATTTGTTTTGATATATATCTTTTAGGGATTTGTTTCCTATTTTTTTATTTAGGAGAATTATATAATTCAAATTTTGTATTATAATTCTGCTCTATATATAGAGAGCCAAGAAATAAAATATATGCGTATTCCGTTTAAGATCCTTGACCGTGTGGGTGATCTTATTGTGTGAGGAGGAGTTTTTCATATCAGTGGTATCAGAGCTATGGCAGGGAACACACAAAAATTTGAGATACCTTTATTTGATGGTAAGACAAATTTTATAATTTGGCAATGTACCATTCAAGATATTTTAGTGCAACAAGGTCATGATCAAGCTTTGGAAGATGAAAAGCCAAATAATATCAATGCAAGAGAATGAAGTCAGATCCAAAAGAAGGTCGTGAGCACGATTCGGTTAGCTCTTACTCCTGAGATCAAGTGCAACATGTTAAAAGAGACAACATCGAAAGCCTTGTGGGAGAAGCTTGAGAGCATTTATGCGTCTAAGTCGTTAATCAATCGCCTATGTTGGAAAATGGAGTTGTATCAACTCAAAATGGAGATAGCGAAAAATCTTCATGATCACATCAATCATTTCAATCAACTGGTATGTCAATTGTTAAATGTTAACGAAATTTTTTTTGATGAAGAACAAGCAGTGTTATTGTTGGCTTCACTACCAATGTCCT